GGGTGGGAGGGCCGGCAGGGCAGCCATCCCCATCACCACCCCATGTTGCGCCACTGCTGCCGGCTGCACAGCTCTAAGCACGGCTCCGTGGCGGCAGCGGGAGGTTTTGGAGGCAGAGGCAGTCACCACTAGTCAAATCGCTGGCACAATAATACGCGATTTGACTATACACGATTTTCACCTTACGCCTTGACTTCAGAACCTAACCCCTGCGTAAGATGCGACTGACCTGTATTTGGTTATATTGCTGCTTTAGCTGGAATCACCCAGAACGGTTGTCTAAATGAACCTAAACTTTAACTTAGACAGAAAAATCACTACAATATAACTATATATAAAAAAGCATTTGTCACAAGAACTTGGGCCATTGGAAATAAGTTCATTCAACAGGACAAGCAAAGTACTTGCTATTCACATGACAGTGTAAGAGTAACTGTTTGTTTTGTGGGATTTCATAATATATGTTTTGTAAACATAATCTGAAATAGATGTAAGGGAATTATATAGCAAACTGCATATGAAAAGTCATAATTAATATTACACTCAATCAGACGCAGACAGATTTAAAATGTTCTGCCTTAGAATAGTTAATCTGTTAGTTCTGAAAAGACATTAGCTATAATGAAAAACCTATATTATGCAGTAATAAAACATGTAAATGACAACAGATAACATATTGTGCAACATTTCCACCCAATTTCTTTTTAAGTACTTGCTAACTATCTTGTACACATTTCTACTTTAGTAATATTACTATTAAACATAAACATTTTAATAGAGAAGGTGACATGAAGAAAAGTATATAGTCTGTTTTAATATGGTAGTATGTTAACATAAAAAGATGTATAGACATTTTAACTTGCTATTGGATTATGGTAGATTAATGAGTTTCTTGGAAAAAAGAAACAGAACCAACAGTTAAATTCCTAATTGACAGATATTAATCCAATTTTGATAATCTTATTTTACTTATTGATTAGTAATCCTACTTTTTGTGTAAATTTACTCTTTATAATCAGGCTGCCAGATTTTCTTTTTGAGAAGAGTGAATCTGAGTGTATGATGAAACAATGCTTCAGTTTTATGAAGTTAGCTGTTCCCTAAGGTCCACTCTCTGCAGGCAGTCACAAATGTAACTGATTTTTTATTAAAGATATTGCAGTGTGGGGTCTCTTTCCATCCCCAAATCATTTCTGAAGTTGTTGCTGTTCCTATTCTAAAGATAAATTTCTTCCTTAATAGCCACTGTGGAAAGCCTAACGGCAATGAACTCTATGCAGACTGCTTCTGTGCAGAGGTGACAGCAGGACTGGGCCCCAAGATAGTAGGGGCATCCCAGCTTCACAAAATCCAGCATTATAAAATATGAATATAAAATATTTTATTCCAGATGAAAAATATCCTTCCCCACCTCTTATGAAGAGGTTCACACAACACACTCATATCTCTCTCATACCTCAAACCTGTTTCCTGTAACTTTCAATTCTCTGCTGTATTAGACGCTACCACACTTTCTTTCTTCCTCCTTAACCCTCATCTTACTTCTAGTAGGTGTCCCAAAACTTAACCATTTACTACCATTTCCCAAAACCGAATCTTTTAGTTTATTTTGTGCAGCCATCTGTCACAAACAAGCACCCAATTTATCACGAAAATTTCTCCCTCGCATACTTTTACTATCTATATCTTAGTTACTTTGTCATGGGCTGCTGACTCTAATAGTCTCTGATTGGACTGCATTCTTCTCCAAGCTCTAAATTGGACTGCTGTGTCCATGTTTAGGTTAAGACATTTGCCCCTTTACTTCTCAGTCTCTGCTATTTGTAGGCTGAGGAAATGGTTCCCCTCTTACTGAATCCAGGGTCAGCACTAGCTCCCAATCCAGGAATGCACTTAAACATGTTCTTAACTTTAAGGGTCCGAGTAGCAGTGTTCCCTCTGAGGAGCAGCGGGGAGCGAGGAGGCACGTGGCATCAGGGCCGGGGAGCGGAGCAGTGTCCCGGAGCCGGCGGGGCCTCACTGGGGCAGGCAGCAGCTCCCCCCCGAGGTGAGGTAAGGCAAGGCAAGGGCAGGGGCAGGGGGCTGGCGCGGGCTCTGCCGGCTCCAGGGAACTGCTCCACTCCCCGGCCCTGATGCGGGGGAGCGCGGCACTTCGCCAGCGCCGGCGGAGCCCGCGCCCGGCTCCCGCCCCAGCCTCTCCTGGTGCGGCCTTGAAAAGGCAGCGCGCGGCCACAATTTTAGCTGTGCGCGACTGCGCACCTTCGAGGGCACCTTGCTGAGTAGTTGTATTGAAATCAACAGATTTCAACCCCTCTTTACGTCAGTTGGTATAATCTGATCCATGAAGAATTTGTGAATTGTGGCATGAAGGACTTACTGTTCTGAACCTGGAACAATATCATTGAACACAAGAGATAAAGCCATGTCAAATGATGCAGGTCTTCTCAAATGAGCAGTTATACAGGTGCACCAACCATTTCTCATGAAAAGAAACAGAGATGACTAGACTATTCATCAGACTATTTTCCTCAAGAGTGTGGTACTTAATCTTCTCCAAATATATATAAATGTAATGTATTTCACACCACCTGCCATATATTACCAAGTCCCAGCAAACCATTAGAATATTGCCAAATTCACATCAGGTTATTCAATAAAAGAATTACTTGTGTTCTAAAATTAATCTGTTTTTTTGTTGCTCTTCCTACTTACTGGAAGCTTTAAAAGCAAAAATTTAAAAAGCTATTTTTCACACGCAGACTATGGATTAAATAACCTCAATCATTCTTCTGGCCTCACATGAAAGGATCTCCATTTTCCTGTATCCGGTTTGATTAAAATACTGCCAGTTGGTTCTGTGAGCTCAGCACATGGAAGGCTTGTCAAGAATTGCTGGCATTACCTTCCTGCCAAAAAAGAATGAGTTTGAGATCTTTTAGAGACTTTCAATTCTGTGCGTGGGCTCATTTCACGGTGACTGTGTACTGCAATATTATCAGAATATTTGCTAATTCCTGTCAAAAGAAACCCAACAAAATTCACACAGAAATTTGAATCCTGAAAGTATGAGAGATGAGCCCTGGAGGAAGAGGATGGCAGTAGGCAAAACACATTTCAGTTTTTTCAAATATGAAGCTGGAAATGGGTGGGGAGAATTTGAGAATCGCCAGCCCAAGGGAGAAGATCAATGGTTCCCTGACTACCAAAGCTTGATTTTGAGTTTATATGCAAACTTTAGCACTACAAATTCATCACAAAAATGACCCTGATGCAAAGGAAATTAAAAAAGGGAAATAATTCTAATGGGAAAGAAATGGGATTAGTTGGGGTTATCAACCAGATTAATATTGAGCTAGAATTGAACTTCAGACGTTTCAAGAGAATGTCTGAGGCAAACCTAACCTGGTTTTACTTCATACAATGTCATTCTAAATAGGAAAAAGCCTTTTTGTGCTATTCTGCATACTGCCAAACCCACTATTTTTAGGGAACTGCTGGTGGAAGATAAAAGAGTGTTTCTTTGGCACAGTTTAGCTGCATGGAAAAAGCTGAATGAGCCAGGTTGCAAGTTCTTTAGTGTGCATTTGTAAAGTCTGCCCTTGTTATTTTAGAAAAGAAAGAGTTGAGCTTTAATAGCAAATGCCAAGTAAGAAGAGTAAATATTCTTTTGAACCTGCCAAAATTCTGTCAAAGGAAAGAAGAACATGCAAAATAATGGCGTTATTGGCCTGACATACAAAAGTATTTCCTTACTAAGATAGATAATAAAAACCATATATAATGACCCATAGCTTACCATTTTGAAGGACCTACAAGGGCAGTTAGATCACTTTAAAGAGAAGGGAACACTTATCTTCTACATCAGAGCACATGAAGGTTTGCTTGGCTTTGCTGTGTTGGAATCCAGGAGGATTTACTAAGGCAATGAGTATTGAGGCAATAATTTACCAGGAAAGACTATTTGCATGACTGACCCTACATGTTGTATTCAGATAGCCAATAAGAGTACCAGCACAACAGCTTAATACACAGGTGGTATTCACATTGTCTGACTCTTGTGTCTTTTACCTATTGGTCATAGAGAACATAGGTCAGGATCCCTTAGCTGGCTCCTGACAAGGAAGTCATCCCTTCACTGCCACATTATTGCAGAAGAATGCTAAAGAAACTGTCTTCTTACCTTTCTTGTGTGTGGGCTCCAAAGGAGGTGTGGGAAACTTCAGCATCAAACCCCCAGCTGGTTGGTCCGGCCTGACGCTGGACTACCGAAGAGGAAGTGCATTGACACAGTTGGGTTAACTTGCCTTTTGGGGCAATACCAGTTAAGCGTGGTCAGTGAATAACCCCACAGATCTTGCATCAAGCAGTGGGAAGGAGGCTGGGGCGCGGTGTCTCGGCTGGACTGGGGGGAGGAATGTTGGGGCCGGAAGGTTCCCGGCGGGTTGGGGTGACAGTTGGCCTGGGCAGTTGGAGAGCGAGAGGTCTGTGTGGCGGCAGTGACTGAGACTGGAGAAATAGCGAGTAAGGAAGAGGAATGCAAGGGGAGGGGGATAGCGAGAACAGGATGAAGTAGCAACGTAAGGAAAATGACAGAGAGAGAGACCATAAAGAAAAGGTTCAAAAGAGACAAACGCTAGTGCCTTGTGTGACATCTAGCAGGGATTTCCATCCTGGACCTCTTTTTCTGAGCACTCACAGCTCATGCTGACTTCAGCTTAGGGTGCTCAGCCCTTTTGAAGCCTTTTACAGATAAATGAAACAAGGGCCCCACAGGTAACTGAACAGCTATAATGGCCATGTGTCGCAAAGGTTGCTAGGTAGCTAGCAAGGTGGTATTAGGAACTGGTAAAAAGGGAGAAATGCTAATACCTTTTGTTGCAGCTTTTACTTGAGACTGGTCCCATTTAACTACTTGTTTGCAATTTATTTGTTTTTTGATAGGTATCATTGCTAGTTTTGATGTGGCCTGAGAGCCAGAAGAAACCTTCCAGCACCAACGTACAGTTAAGAAGCAATAAATAAACTCTGGTCCAGCCAGTGAGCAGTCTAAATCCAAGGCGAGGAGGTGTTCGTGGTCAGGTACTGATAATCTTGACAGCGGGTTCACAAAGACGGCTCTGCTTTGACCCCCAGAAGCAGGTTTCTCACCAAGAATGTTGTGCAAAAGTGGGAGGAGTAAAGCAGAGTTACCCACGTTCTTTCCATACTTTCCACGTCCCATTTCTTTTACATCAGGGGTCTCCTAGCCCACAGGCCAGATCTGGCCCCAGGTGCTGGGTCATCCAGCCTGCAAGGCTCTCCATAAGTGTGCAGAGAGCCCTATGGGCAGTGGCTCTGCATGTTAAATCAGGCGTGCAGGACCTGATCCGGGCATGAGGGGCTAGGCAGAAGCAATGTTGGACCCTGGAGTCCAATCCTGCCATGTGGGGATGGGCAAAGGCAGCGTGCACCCCAGTCTCAGTGCATGGGGTCAGGTGGAGGCAACATGGGACTCTGATCCTGGCACATGGGGCCTGGTGGGGGCAGTGTAGAGCCCTGGGGCCTGATCCAGGTGCATGGGGGCGGTGCAGGGCCCGATGCCAGTACATGGTGTCTGATATGACCTGTGGCTTGGCCCCATGACTTTCTTCTGGCCCATGGGGCCAAATCATTAAGCACCGCTGCTTTATAATAGTTCTGAGGCTGCATCTCAACTACTCGATAGACATGGGCGACTGGTGCCTCCTGATACTGGGGGGCACCACCAACTGATTGCTGAGGGGGCTGGGCGGGTACTCCTAGGAGCGATCACCGCCGGTGGCGGAAGTGCCGGCGGGAAAACCAGAAGTGCGGCAGCAAACCTGGCAGTGCCACTGGCGCTTCTCTTGACGCCCCCAGAATCTCAGGGGGGTCACTGGCTGTTGCCCCCCACTCACCATCCAGGAAGGGCCAATCTCAGGGTGGGGGCATGTGCCCTCCATGCCCCTCCTACATGTTGGATACTAGCTCTGTATCTGCCTGCTCTTATATGAAATACTTCCTTTGATACAACATGGTATAGCACAGGAGTCAGCAACATTTTTGAGCAGAGTGCCAAAACCCCCCACAACCTCAGCTTGTAAGATGTTGGCACGCCAGGGGTGAACAGTGGGAGAGCAACAAGGGGCCTGATCCCTGTTGTGGCAGTGCAGCCCCAGCCCCTTCCTTGCTGTTCGCCCTGAAGTGTGTGCGCCAAGCAAAATGCCTTTGTGTGCCACGCTCTGGTACCTGTGCTGGGGGCTGCCTACCTCTGGTGTAGAATTTGATTGTTTGAAGTTGTATTTTACTGTAGAATCAAATTCAGTGTGTTGTATTTTAGTGTAGAATCAAATGCAGTCTTCTCCAAAGCTTTGTCTGTAGTATAGATGTTTAACTGGCAATCTCCCATTCTACAAGTAGTCCAGGGACATTTTCTTCTGAGGTGAAGAGCTCTGACAGACTTTCAAGCAACATCAGTCTGCTGCTGAACACCTGCAACTCCCTAGTTGTCCACAGTCCTTGCAGATATTTAGTGTCTGCTCAGCACTTCTCAGGATTTTGCCTTTCATATTTATCTTTATAAAACCTCATTCAATTTAATTTTTACCCACTTATGTAATTTTTCTAGCTCAAATTATAGCTTCTGTCCATCCTCCATTGTGTTTGGGTCTCTTCCTCACTTTGTGTTACCTACTATTTAATTTGTGTACTATCCATTCTCTCCTCTAGGCTGTTAACAATTTGATAAAATAGCAATAGTCCTAGCTTTATCTCTTGAACCGCTCAGCTTGACAATGTTTCCCTATCTGCATATCACACATCAGTTTGATGGTTCCCTATGTGATATATGACCATTAATAACCACTTGGCTTCTATTTATTGAGCCAACCATATAATTCCTATCTATCCTATTAAATATTTCCAAGGGAAACACCCCTCAAAAACAGACTGAGATGTAAGCAGTAATCAAGCTAGCTTTACCACTGAGTTGACCAATGATCATGTTTATATTTGCCAGTGTTCTTTGCTATTATTGCCTTTGTAAAAGCCAGTTGGCAAGATATGTGTTATATATGCATGGAGCTTTTTATCTACTGATTTTTGGTTATGTTACAAACCAGATGGAGACATTAGCCAAAACTGTCATTTTAAAATTCCTTGTAAAAAACTTATTTTTTATGCTGCCAAATATTGCAAGCATTGTTTCTTCTACACTGATTTGAAGCCATTGAATAACTATAACTGTGCATTCCCTGTGGATATCTTAGGAAATAATATTCTAGAACCAATTTCTTCCTTTAATATGGTTTTCTAAATTCAGGTCAGGTATCCACTGACCTCCCTGTCTGAAATCTTTGTTGCAGAAACACTTGGCATGCATAAGTGGTAACCAAATTGCAGTTTTATTCATATGCTTTAAAGAAGTCAGTATAAGGTAAAGGAAACTTTATTACATAAAACTGATTGTACCAGTTGTGTGCATGATGTTCCAGGTTATTAAGTGTAATCATTAGGGCATCTGTTCGAGCATTAACTTACTGTACATACACAAAAAGGCAACCACAGAGCCACTTATTTTTGTTTGTAGCATCTTTATTAAAACACCTTGGCAGGTACACACTATCCTTTAGTATCTCTTGAAAAAGATTCTTATTGCTGTTTAGAAAAAAAATGCAGGAGTATTATTTAACTGCTATGAATAAGTATAACAATGAACAAAAAGGCTACAATCAGAAAAGAGAAAGTGTACAGTATATAATGAAATGTTGCAGTTTACATGTAACTGACCCATTCCTGTGAATTCTCAGATTAGAAATATTCTGTTAGATTGATTCATTGATTTGACACACAGGATGGAGCCAGAGCACATTTCCCCAAAAAGAGCATTGAGTAAAGGGAATTGAATTATACTAGCTTCTCCTCTGATAACATCCAGTGCTGCAAATTATTTCAACAATATTGTATATATACATAATGTAATAGCCCATTCCAGGACTCATTGTTCAGGAAGAAAAATAGAAAATAGCATTTGCAAGCAGTACTGAATTGGACTATATATTAACAATAACAAAAGCTAATTTAACTTACAGAGGGTCCATCTATGCACGAGCTTTACTGTGACGCTGACTAATTAGCTTCACAGTAAAGCATCACCACCTACACATGTGCCAGTATTAGGGTGCAGTAAATTGATTAACTCAGTGGTAGCGTAGCACTGTCCAGGACAAGTACTATCCTACAGTGGAGTAGTTACATATTGCAAAACACACATGTAGATGGTGACCAGGGCTGGATGGTTCACAAAGGTGCTACAGTGCAGGGGCTTCCTGCTGGATAGCCCCACACTGTAGCACCCTCATGCCCCAGCCAGCCCCTCCACAGCATGTTGAGCCAGGACAGAGCTGCCCCAGGCTGGCAGGCTGAACCCCCAGACCCTCTGCCAGCAGGGGCTGCTCCACCACAGCTCAGTGTGCTGCAGTCCCAGGCGCACGTGTAAATGCTGAGCTCAGGAGCAATAAACTCTGGCATGAACTGTGCTGGAGTTTATTGTTATGTGCTAATTGCACATGTAGATGCACCCTGTATGTTTCATCTTAAATCTTGAAATTTTAGCTCATTTCCTTCTGCTGTTCCCAGCAACAGTTTATTCCTGGCCCCAGAGCCATCAGGGATTTAGGATTGCTTATTTGTATGCCAGTTACAAACATAGGGCCAAACTCTTATCAAATAGTTTTTGATTTAGTGTAAACCCATTCATTTACTAGGGTTGCCCTAGTGCAACTGAGAGCAGTATTTGGTACTTACTCTATTAATTAAATACAAACTACAGTAAATTGCTATGTCACATCTTCTAGGATAGTTTGTGTTTGGGGTGTTATATGTAATTAAAGAAGATCTACAACAAATCCTCAACATTTTGTATGTAATACAATATACCATATCATATACCAGGGTCTCTCGACCAGTGGGAATTGGAAGTGCCTCAGTGGGACGACTGGTTTCACTTTTGCACACTTTGACTGGCTGCTGCCCCCCCTCACTCTTCAACTGGCCTCTGGGAGACACCCCCCCCCACACACACACCCGTTGACTGGTGGGACCAGGATTTTTTGACCTTATATAGATGGGACATAAGGCGCAAAAGGTTGAGAACCGCTGTCAAATATACACACACAGCCATGCACCTATATACATTTCAGGAAAGCTTGCAGTCCAACCAATGGAAGCAATGGCAGAAGCAGCCAAAGCATGCACTTCTGCTCTGTTCTTTGACAGGAAAGGCTAGAATGGAGCCCACATGGCCACATTGGACTCAATATACCCTTGGGCCCAGAGCTGTGCAGGGGAGATCTCCCACAGGCACTCTGAGGCAGGAACACCCAGGGAGTACCCCTTTCCTCTCAACTCATTAAGCCTGGAGAAAAATGCAAAAAGGAACTAGGCAGGGCTCCTACAAAAGCAGCCAAAGGAAAAAACTTTAGTTATGCAGAGAATTTCTATAGCTTTGATAGGAGTTCCTCTGCCCTGTGCTGATTGGTTGGTTATCCCAAACTTCCTCCTCAGCCTTGTCTACCCTTTTCCCTTGTCTTTTCTCTATCTCTACTTTCCTATCCTTTTCTCTCTTTTCCATCTAACTAATCTCTCTCAACTAATTGTAACCCTCAGAAATCATAGAAATAACAGTCTGCTACCATCACATTGTTCATTCACTTGTATATTACACCTCTTCCCCACCTTGTATCTGTCTGACTTGTTTAAAATCTCTTTGGGGTGGGAACCATCTACTAATCTGTGCTTGGACAGTTTCATAGTTTCATAGTAGCTAGGGTCAAGAGGGACCTGAACAGATCATCTAGCCTGACCCCCTGCCACAGGCAGGAATGAATGCTGGGTTCACAAGACCCGAGACAGGTGATCGTCCAACCTCCTCTTGAATATGCCCAAGGTAGGGACGAGGACCACTTCCCTGGGAAGTTGATTCCAGATTTTGGCCACCCTGACTGTAAAATATTGCCTTCTGATCTCCAACCTAAACCTGTTCTCCATCAGCTTATGACCATTGTTCCTCATCACCCCAGGTG